TTTCCTTCCTTTTTCTTTCTTTTCCATCCTTCCTTCCTTCTCTATCCTTCCTTCCTTCCTTTTCTTTTTCCCTTTCTTCCTCACATCTTTCCTTCTCCATATTTCTCCAATTTATGTTACCTGCCCGTCTCGCAAAACCAGTGACTGACACAATTCTCCCTGCTGGATTGCTAATGTGGGATGTAAAACAAATCAACAAATGAAGTAAGCCAAATATAATCCACTTGATAGTAGTATGTTCCAAGCCTAGCCGCATTTTTTCTGGATCTTTCGAGCAAAATACATTCCATCATTTCACGTGGGTTGATCCAAACACTTCCTGGTGCAAAACAACATGTTCAGTGTAGGGCACACTGAGTAAACCAGTTTTACAGCTACTACCCAGTTGGTTTCCTCTCTGTGTCGATAAACAGTCCTGGCATTGTAGCTACAAAGAACGAAGGCTGTGAGATAGGAGAAGTGATCCAAAAGAGAGAAAACATTATAAATCCAAGACAATTCACCATTGAAAGGTGGGAAAATCCAAGCAAAAAAGAGAAGCTTTTTTTTTTTTACTTTCCACCTGACCAGCTAGCTGACATAAAATGAGGAATCGTCTTTGGAATGCAACAGGTGGGAAGTGAGAGCCGAAGAAACAGGCTTTCTTGACAGCAGAAAAATTAGATTTACTGGCCAATTAGTGAGGCCTCCAGGACAGAGGTAACATAACTAGTTTGCAAATAATTAATCTACACCTTGAACTAACAAGAGACCTGGGCAGGACTCTACAGCCAAAGGTTGTAAAAGATTACATTTTATCATGAGGCTGTATGATAAAGATATCGTGAAGTGGCTTCCGATTTTCTTTAACAGCCGTTATGAATACATTTATTCTATCTTTTCTCTGTAAGGCAGTGATTCTCCACCTTGGCATTTGGGATATGGGTGGATTTCAACTCCCAGATTCCTCCTGGCTAGGGAATTCTGGGAGTTGAAATCCACCTACTTTAAAATTGCCAAGTTTGTGAAACACCGCTCTAAGACTACATCATATCTTCCTTCTTTCCATATTCTATCCTTTCTGATCATCCAACCCATAAATCACTTTCTCCCTCATTTTCAGCAAAAAAGCCTCCTCAAAGGACTTTTAGTCCCTGATAAATGTAGAAAATTGCCTTTTCCACCAACCAAGCAGGTCCATTTTTGCCAAGTTTGCAATTCTTCCCCAGCCCTATAAATATTTCAGAATCTTGTTCTCTATTCGTGCATCTAATAATCTCCCTGCATTTTACTCTGCAGAAAACTAACCATCTATACTTTTTTTTTTCTAGTCGTCTATCCATTAATGACAGCCGAAAAGGTTCTGCCTTCGATAGAATATTTTAAATTCTTGGCATCATTCAACGGGGTTGAACCTAATCCTTTCTAACGTGAGAATTCCTTGCTCTCTGAGCTTGGTTGTTTTTGTTAAAGACGTTTCATGACTCCAATAGGTAACATCATCAGTGCTAGAAGGGGCATTTGGAGCAAACCCCGCTCCCTTCTAGCACTGATGATGCTACTTAGTTGGGTCATGAAACATCTTTAACAAAAACAACCAAGCTCAGAGAGCATCAAGAACCACACAGTCCTCCTCTTCCCCTTCCTTCTTTCCTTCCTTCCTTCCTTCCTTCCTTCCTTCCTTCCTCCCTCGATTCCTTCCTTCCTTCCTTCCTTCCTCCCTCCCTCCCTCCCTCCCTTGATTCCTTCCTTCCTCCCTTCTTTCCTTCCTTCCTTCCTTTCCTTCCTCCCTCCCTCCCTTGATTCCTTCCTTCCTCCCTTCTTTTCCTCCCTCCCTCCCTTGATTCCTTCCTTCCTTCCTTCCCCCTCCCTCCCTCAATTCCTTCCTCCCTCCCTTCTTTCCTTCCTTCCTTCCTCCCTCTCTCCATTCCTTCCTTCTCCTTGCAAACCCCTCTCCCTTCTAGCACTGATTATGTTCCCTAGTTGGGTCATGAAACGTCTCCAAGAAAACCACCAAGCTCAGAGAGCCACAAGGACCCCCCATTTCAACTCTGAGCTATAAATATTCTCTTCTATCCAATCCACTTGTATATAAACAGAGAGCAAACCCCACTCTCTTCTAGCACTGATTATGTTACCAAGCTGGGTCATGAAAGGTCTGTAAGAAAACAACCTAGTTCCTTCTCCCCACAATCCCCATTCCCTTCAAGCACTGATAATGTCCCCTAGTTGGGTCATGAAACATCTGTGAGTAAAGAACCCAGCTCAGAGAATATTATATAGGACTCTACATCCCTCCTCCTCCTTCTCCTCCTCCCTCCATCATTCCACAATCCCCACTCCCTTCTAGTTCTAGTTCGGATGATGTTCCGTAGTTGGGTCATGAAACGTCTGCAAGAAAACCTTACAGTCCTCCTACTACTCCTCTTCTCTTTCCTTCCTTCCTCCTCCTCGCAAACTCCCCTCCCTTCTAGCACTGATGATGTTCCCTAGTTGGGTCACGAAACGTTTGCAAGGAAACCACCAGCTCAGAGAGCCCCAAGGACCCCACAGTTCAACCCCAAGCTATAAACATTCTCCTTTTATTGGTCCTTTGTAGCTTTTGCATTTTTTACACACATCTGCCAAACACACCCTGATGGTTCGATCGTGCTTTCCTGAATCCTTCCGAACCCGAGATTGAACCGAAACTGAGGGGGGGGAGGAGGAGGAGGAGAAAAAAAAATCTACCTTCGCATAGTAGGCAAACTCTGAAAACCACAGGAATGCCAAGAAGGTAAAGGTGAGCAAAGAGCAAATAATTTAATTTTTTTGTTTTGCAGAAAAGGTAAGCGTGCCAACGGTAGCCTCCGGTCGAGAGGGATCCCGTGCCAAGAAGAAGTGCCCACCAGTGCAAACAGAAAGTGTATTGTTTTGGTGAGTGTACCCACGGGTGGGATTCAATTATTTTAACAACCAGTTCTGTGCGCGTGGCTTAGTTGGTGGACGTGGCTTGGTGGTCATGATAGTGGCTGGGCGTGGCCAACTCAATATCATTCACAACTCCTCCAGAATTTCCTCCTCCAGTCGTGTTAGCTCAGGAATTCTGGGAGTTTGAAGTCCACAAGTCTTAAAACTTGCCAAGTTTGAAAACCCTTGTTGTAGAGCTTTCCAGACCCACCAAAAGTTCTAGATTTTCTTCTTCCAAGCTTGGCTTGGAATGGGGTGGAGACCGGAGGACATGATGGAGAAGGAAAGACATACAGGGTCAACTTAAAATGCAACATTTCTGTTGTGAAGCAGAAACACATTCCTTAAAGTGAGCTTTGCCCCTATTTTACGATCTTTCGGGCCACCGTTGTTCAAGTGAAACCCTGCAGTTGTTAAAAGTTGGGAAGTGCATCTGGCTTCCCACCCTGGGGAGGAAGGAAGGAAGGAACCGTCATAAATATGACTCAGTTGCCAGGTGTCTGAATGTTGATCACATGACTGCAACCGTCGTAAGTGTGAAGAACGGCCATAAGTCACTTTTCTTCAGTGCCGTTGTAACTGAGGCAAGAGAGGTTGTAAAACGAGGCAAAACTCACTTAACAAATGTCTCATCCACAGAAATGTTGGTCTCAAGTGTTGTCTACCTGTAAAGACGTCGACATCTTGTCTGGTTATTTTGAAATAATTTTTGGAGGACATGTATTTTCGTGTGTAGTTTCATTATATTAAGATTTCTTCGTGTTCAGTAAATAATCATGTTATTATTATAATAAGGGTGTTCAGAGCGTACTATATATCTCATTGATTTGATAGTTGTACAAAGTTGTATTTTGTAGTAATAGAGTTGTTTATATAATTGTACTTTGTCTTCTACCTGTTATCTTTTATTCCGCTTTTTATTATTTCATGTTTATTTGATCAAATAAATAAATTGACCAAATAAATAAATAAAATCCATCATGGAACATCCATTTTTTATTTTTTTTTAAGCGGGGAGACCTTTAAAACTCGAGTTCATTAAGGATTAAAAGTAATCCTTGCAGACCCATTCTGTAAACACATGATTAGATCCCGTAACGGCATCAACCGTCCTGGACAATCTTTAACCCAGCCCACCTATAAAGGTTTGGCACACATATGCACACCTGGAAGAGGCTTGCTGGCTGTAACACCCAATGCTTCATTCAGCTCAGCATCACACCTTGTTCCTCTCTGCACCCCTTTCCAAGTAGGCTAAATTTTTGCACAAAATAGAATAGAATAGAATAGAATAGAATAGAATAGGATTCAGGATATAGAGTAGAGTAGAGTAGGATAGAACAGAATAGGATTCAGGATACAGTAGAGTAGAGTAGAATAGGATTCAGGATAGAGTAGAGTAGTGTAGTTTTATAGGATAAGATAGGATAGAACAGAATAGAACAGAATAGAATAGAATTCAGGATAGAGTAGAGTAGGATAGGAGTAGAGTAGGATAGGATAGGTTAGATTCAGGATAGAGTAGAATAGAATGAAGAATAGAGTAGAGTAGAGTAGAGTAGAGTAGAGTAGAGTAGAGTAGAGTAGAGTAGAGTAGAGTAGAGTACAGTAGAATAGAATAGAATAGAATAGAATAGAATAGAATAGAACAGAACAGAATAGAATTCTTTTATTGGCCAAGTGTGATTGGACACACAAGGAATTTGTCTTGGTGCAAATATTCTCAGTGTACATAGAATAGAATAGAATAGAATAGAATAGAATAGAATAGAATTCTTGATTGG